TTGGAAGTGTTAGAAAAGCGTGGATGTGGCACTTGGGGACACGGGTTAGTGGTGAACACGGCAATGGGGGAATGGCTGGACTTGAACTTAGAGGGCTTTTCCAACCTAAATGACTCCATGATTCTAAGAAACTTGAAACCCTAAAAACATGCCTATAGGTCAAAAAATACCCCACAGGTCCCTGCAAAACGTCCCCTGCGCAGGGGAACTCCTGAGTCCAATTCTGGTGAACTTTCCTCCACGAGTTTCCGAGCGGCACGTGTCAGCCAGGCAGCTGAGGGACAACTTGGCAGGAGCTGCAGTGACACACCTGGAGCCAGCCTATCTCCCCAGCTGGGGCAGCCTCCTCCCACAAAGTTTATAGTACAAGTGCATGAAAAGCTGATCAATCCAGCACCAGGAAGGCGCGGCCCCAGTGCAGGCAGAGCAAAACCACCGGTGTTATAGTCAGAAATACATGGAGACCTCACAGCACCTTCCAGGGCCTGAAGGGCTACGAGGAAGGGGGAAGGGGATTCTTCATGAAGAACTGCAGGGAAAGGACAAGGGGGAATGGCTTCCCACTGCCAGAGGGCAGCGTTAGGTGTGATATTGGGGGGAATGTTCCCTGAAAGGGTGGTGAGGCCCTGGCACAGGTTGCCCAGAGAAGCTGTGGCTGCCACCCTGGAAGTGTTCAAGGCCAGGCTGGATGAAGCTCTGAGCAACCTGGGCTAGTGGAAGGGCTGTGGAATGAGATGAGCTTTAAGGTCCCTTCCAACGCAAACCAGCCTGGGATTTTATGAAACAGTGACTGCAAACACTGACGTTGAGCTGTCAGTCACTGGGGAAGGCCGGACAGTGCTGGGTCTTCCTGATGAATATTTTTGAATATTCATGTTCTAAGCAGCCTCTGCCCAGAGGGAGATAATGCCTGTCTCACAGCTGGCAGGGCTGATTTTCCCAAGTGACACCCAGGGTGTCACAGTGCCCCACCCTGTTACCACTGCCCCACCCTGATAGCACGGAGGGCTGGGGCTGCCCAGGGCCTGTCACACCACGTCCTCGTTGTTTTGGGGGTGGTGCCATCAGCCCATCACAGCCTGTCAGTGTCTGTGTTGTCCAGCAAATGCCTAGGGGACAACAATCTGACTGTAGCAGGATGAATCCTCTGGTAGTCAGGGAGTAACACCACTGTAATCAGTGACAGAATCTATCTGGGAAGGACACACACTTCCCTTTCCTGGCTGGGATCACTCCCACAGAAAATCTTACTTAGAGGACTGAGCACAAACACCACCCGAATCGATGTGAAGATTTGTTCAACTCCCAAGTTATGTCAGACACTAAATTATTAAATAATAGCCGGATGAATCACTTGGGAACGAACATAGTGTTCCTCTTGCATCGTCTACTTTATATTTGTCTGGATCTCGTGTTTATTTTAGTCCCCACCAGTGTTTGTTTGAAGGGCACTAACAGAGGGAACTTGTGGCCGTGCCCCAGTGAAGCTGCAGAAATGAAAGAGCAACCCCAGACAGTGACTGTTTCTAGGAAGCCAGAACAGTCCTCACGCAGAGGGGATGCGGCTTCAGCTCCGGCAGCCGCTTCACCGGCTGACTGTGAACGTTGCCAAAGCGAAAATTGGCTTTATTTTGCCTCTCCTTGGCAGGTTGAGGTGTGAAATGGGAGCCAGCTGCATTCCAGCACCAGGGAAATGCAGACCTGCCCCTTTACAGCCCTGTGCCAGCACCTCATGTGTGGGAGCTAAGGTCGAACCGGAGCGACTGGAATTGCACTCCTGCCCTTCGGCCCTCTGTTTGCAAAAGGGGTTGATGCCCCGGTTTTTTCAGTGTTTTTCCTTTTCCAGCCAAGAGACTCTGCACTACAACAGCACCAGGGCAGGGGGATTCATGGTGGGGACTGCAGCTCAGGTTTTGGGTGGTATTTCTGGTGTAGGATTTGAATGTGGGTACAGGACAGGGATTAAATCCAGCAGAAACTGGAAAGTTTGTCAAATGTTCAGACACTCTGAGGATCTTTATGTCAGGAGACATTGGGGCATCTCAAGGTGATGAGATAATGGCAGATGAAAGTAAAACTAGAAGCTGAAAAGAGGTGATAACAGCAGAAAAAGGCTGCAGAACTGCTCAGGCACTGGTCACGTCCAGAGGTGGGTTCTGCTGGCAGGTCCCCACGGAAGCACGAAGAAGTTCAGAGATAAGAACCTGTAACCTGCTCCAGGCTGGTGCACAACATCTACAGGCACTGTGTGGTTGTCTCTGATCTCCTCTGACTTCAAACAAAAGAAAATGCAAAGGCAGAGAAAGGATGAAACACAAGGATCTTCGATCAGTAATGTATTTTAGTTCCTGGTCTACCTGGAGAACAAGAAGAGCAGAGCTCCACAGCCAGGTCGGGTTTGGAGGAAGAGGAGGGGGTAACACAGCACACCTGCTTGTCCAAGAAAAAAAATATAAGCTACTACATTTGGCTCTGGACTTCTGAAGTTCTTTTATGCTCTTTTAGCAAGGAGGCAAATCAGTTTAATAGAGGAGAAAGCAGAAATTGCCAGACTCCCCTCCTAAACTGGGCTTTGGCTGCAACTCTTCCCAAGGCTCAATTTTGACATTAACACTAAATATGATTCAGCTTCTGAAGAAAGGTGGTTTTTTTTGTAGCCCAAAACCTGGTGAATTTGAGTGGAACGGACAAAAACTAATGTTGCAAATACTTAACTTTGTTTTTCAAGGCAATTTTTTACCTTGTTTTTCTAACACTGTCCGTCAGCATTTGGTTTTCTCCAGTTTCCTGTCACAACTACCACGTGGATGTGGACATGTCATCCTGCACACTGAACTGCAGCAGCTCCCCAGAGTAGCTGAAACACAGGTTTTTTAACCAAAAGCACTGTCATTGTTGGGGAGGGCCACAACTCCTCACCCAAACACGACCCCACCCAAAGGTCAGTGGAACAAATCGCAACAAAACCAGGAACATCCTTAACCTCTCCCTTTTCTAAGTGCAAGGCACATTCTTAACATGATCTTCTGTCATAAATAAGGAGCAGCATGGACATAAAAAGAAAAAAACAAGATCCTTTTCTTCGCAAACCCATTTGCACACAATGATCTCCCCGGGGACAGTGTGAGAAAAGAACCTCTGGGATGTGCTGAGGAGCCTGAGAGAACTCAGGATTAACCCCAGGATGCTCCTGCCTGAAGCAGGGACAGCTAAACCTCTCCTCTAATTAGAAACACAGCTGAGATCACTGTCAACACCATGAAATAGGACACTGGGACAACTTGGGAGGTGTCAGGCAGCAGTGAGTGACACATCACCCCTGGGGTCTTCGGAGCAGGGCTGTGGCTGAGGATGGGGTGCTGCCAAGGAGCCTTGGATAGTGTCCCTCTGTCCTCTCCTGGCCAGGACACACTGCTTGGTGGCTTTTCCTGGTTTCAGAATCTCTGGGGAGAGGCAAGGGCTGCCCCTGCTCTTACACCACCAACACTTCCTTGTACATTTAACTTCAGAGAACTAAACACAAGCCACAAGGCTCTACCTGTAAATCACACTGCCAGGCCAATCACTCCCTCCCAGAAAGGAATGGGAAGCCTGAAATCCATGAATGTGTTGCTGCATAAAAAAATAACTCTTGCTTATTACACCCTGGGGGAAGGGCTGATCAGTCAGCATTTATACATATTTATAATTTCCCATCTTTCTCTAGAAGCTACTTACTTTGTTTCCCTTCAATCCCCCCCCATTATATAAAACCAGCACAGTTCTGATTAAAGAGGCAACTTCCTTATTCAGCTGAGGAGTAAAATAGTCAGAAAACCAAAGCTGAAATACTTCCAGTTCTGCAGACTGCTGGGTATGAAAACCACAACCTGCTTCCCCGCTGGCACTTCAGATTTCTCTCCCTGCAGCAGCTGAAACAACTGAAGGCTCCTTGTCCCCCCACGTAACCACAGGAGGAACAGCCGTGAGACACCACAAGCTGTGACCCTTCCACACATCAGACACTGCCAGAAGCACGGAGGGAAAGGGAACTGTGCACGCCCCTGGGCAGCGCCAGCACAGTCGGGATGTGGCACTTGGGGAGCAAACGCGGCCCAGCCCCGGCGCGGAGGAGCCGCCCGGGCCGGGCCCGCCCTGACCTCTGCCGGGAGCCTGCTGCAGTGCACGGCACGGGCGGCTCCACCCGCTGCTCCCTCACCCTCCTGGGGAAACAGGGTCCTCCCCATGGAAAAGAGGGTCAGGGAAGAGCCAGGGAACCTGCCTCTGCCTTCCCAGCTCACCTGCATTTCAGTGACACACCGCAGCACACAGCGTTAACTGCTCAGGAGAATCACTCGTTTAGGTTAGAAGAGACCTTTAAGATCAAGCCCAACCACAAATAGTACTGAATAATTAAAGAATAAAATCAATCCAGACACTGAACCCAGCAGCCAAGGGGGCAGCACCAGCAGGTCCTTCCTTTACAGCTTCACCATCACCTTGTCCTTGCCTGGACAGCACCAGTGAAAGAAATTCCATCATCAGACTGTTCAGTGTGAGAGATTTAATCTAAACCACACAACTGAACCAATGGAGCAATTCATCTTCTCTTGGATACAGGGTCAAGGGAGCAGGGCAGTGTGGGACATCCACTTGCTCTCCAGTCGTGCCACAGTTTTACAGGGAGTGAATCTTCATGCAAAGCTCTGATTTCCAGACCAGTAATTCCCAAACTGAGAAAGGAAGAACACCTTCAATGCTGTGCCCAACCCACACCCGAGACGCAAAGCCAGTGAACCTTTGCATCTTTAGCTGGTTTGCCAAGGAAGCATTATGGGGATCCCTGTTGGGCAGGAAGTGCCATCAGCTCCTGAATCCACCCTGGCTGAAGGGATTGGATTCCCATGGAATTCCCTGAGGAGCAGAGACCTGCAGGTACAGCCCTGCTGGACAGTTCAGGTGAGCTATATACAGCCAGGTGTGGTGACTGTCAGTCAGGTACGAGTTAAATACCGAACAACGAGTTGTAACCAAAACTTTAATCCCAAGGATCTCACAAAAGACATTTTACAAGTGACATGAAAAGTCTTGTACAGTAAAGAAATGTTTAACTCCTAAAGTTTACAATGTACCATTAGACACTTAACACATCCACTCCAGGTGTCAGTTCTGCTTGTGGATTTGGTCTATTCAGAGGTTCTGGAATAGATGGTCAATCAACAATCGGCTAATTAAGGACTCTACTCACACCAAGTACAAAATTAACTGATCCTACAGCTAAAAATTTGTAATTTATGGAATATAAAGCAGCTCAGTTCCAAGTAATGCAGTCAGAACTGGAGCTGGATGAAGCTGCAGCCCAGCCCTCCCCTCCCCGTGCCACTGGTTCCTGCTCTGACTCTTCCCTGCAACTGGGCTATGGAGCACCCACCCCCTGCTCTGCTCCAGGCCACAATTCCACAAGGAACACACCATCCCAGCACACTTCCTTGAGAGCTGAGCCCCAGCAAACCCCCCCAGCTACGGACACAGACCATTTACCATTCCACACACACACAAACCATGTCTAATGGTACACTGGAAAACCATTAATAATACAAATCATAGGATCTGCTCAGAACCATATACAGATTCACATCTTTACATTTGCCACCTGTTACAAGATACAAGGAACAAAGCAAGTTCAACAGCTAAAACATTTTAAAAATGCACCAAGCTTTATGAAGTTTCAAAACAAAACAATGTTCTGTACATACTCCTGGCCTCGGATCTCGTGACTTCCTGTACACAGCTCCTTCCCACAGTCCTATTTCCTCTCATTTGACCTGGAGCGACTGAAGGACAACAGACAGGTTAGGTTTGGTGAAATCCAAGGTGCCAAGAGCAGCAGATTTTCCTTTAAACCCCCCAGCCCCGATCAGCAGATATTAAAGCATTTAAAAGATACTGTTCATTTAATAAAATTGAGTATTTAATTCTTTGAGGTGAAGAACCTCGTAAGATACCAGAGGTATTTCTCCACCACCACCTTTATCAGCATTACCAAGGCACAGAAAGTCATTTTTACATCTTTACTCAGAACACAAGTACTGGAAGACTCTTCTTACCTGCGAGACCTGGAAAAGGAGCGAGAAGGCTTGTGGTTCCTCTCCCGTGAGAGTGATCTCTCTCTTCTTCTGTCTCTGGAGAGGGACCTGGTACAGATCACAACACCAGATGATCAGAGCAAAGCTCAATTAGGCCAACAAGGCTCCCGAAGCTTCCCTTCAGGAGTGAAGTTTTTGAACTATTCACCCAGAGGAAACCTGCTGCAGATGCCATTAACCTTCCCTTCAGGGAAGAAGGATCAGCTTGAGCCAACAGCTTATGCTGTGCTGTGCACAGGCACCTAGTCCTTTGCAGCAGGTTTTTTTGTGGAATCCAACCTCATCACCCTCCTGATTTATGGCTGATTCAATCCTGAAGGTCTTTTCCCACCCAAATGGCTCTATATGATTCTACACTTCTGGCAAAGAGTAGCACATCAACACAAACTCTGTGAAAAACTGGCAGAAAACCACAGGGCAGCTGCAGAACGGAAAATACTTCTATTCTTAATATCCTTCCACTGCTAACTCTGGAATCTCAAACAGCTGAGTAATTCCAGGCAAAGGACATGGCAGAAGCAAACCTGTTTCCTTTGTACCAAACTACAGCCTGAATGTGCACAGCACATGGGGCTGGTTTGGGCTGTTCCTTTTCACACCTCCAGGCCAGAGCAGTGTGTGGGGTAAGGAAGGGATTCGTACCTGCTGCGGCTCCGGGAGAAGCTTCTCCTTCGTGGTGATCTAAAACCAGAAAACCAGATGTGAGGCACTTTATCCATTCCTTGAGCATTAACGGGGGTGAGGCATTTCCCAACTTGTCAAACTCACTGTTGGGCCCAGGGAACGTGCCAAGAATAACTGGCATCCACCATCCAGTAAAAGGCATGGAAAGATTAGGCAGTAAAACCAAGCTCAGTGTGAACAGCACGTTTCCAACCACGAATTCACTTTAACTAAGAATGCGTCAGAGCAGAGTTGTCCAATGCAACACTTTCCATTTCAACTAAATACACTGCCCAGAACACCACACCAAAGTCCCACAAGTGGTTCCAAAAACAAAAAAAAAAAAAAAAAAAAATAGCACAGAGCAAATGTTTTGGAACCCATGCAAGCCAAAAAGGTCCATAACAAGGCATAAGAGATATCAAGTGGAAAAAAAAAAGTGAAAATGCGCTCAGTGTCAATTTGATAATGCCATTAAGTGCTACATTAGAACTGCATATTTGTGATTGTCATTTTTAATGCCATCGAGTGTGTTTAGACTATTTTCTTATAAAAAAATTAAAAAATTAAAAATATAACCTTAGCTCGGCCCAGTTCATCCCAAAAAGTAATTGTTTTAAGTTTTGAAAACTGTTAGTAAAACCATTTAAAGGTGATAGGATTTTTCTGGCAAGGAAAAGCTACATTTGTTAGAGCTTCATTAAAAATTTAGTTTGGCATCTCACATGCAAATATCCTGGTTTTTACGTTATTCACAGTGTAAGAGCTTCCATATCACCCTTAAAAGTTTTCTCAAGCAACATATGTACGTTACCACTCAATTATGCACAGCCAGCCTTTGATTGAGAAAAGTAATTACTTATAAGCCGCTTACTCCTTATTTTAACCAGCAGTAAACTGTATAAGCAGGAAAAACTTACAAGTCTTTGGTTTCAACAAGCTAGAAATGGTGAGGTGAGGCTGCCGGACTGACTGCCAAGAAGAATTTGCTGAAAAGGTTTTGCCAGATGTTGCGTTGTATTTAGTTGGTTGGCGAAGGGGGTGTTGTGGATTTTTCCTGCTTTTTTGTTAGCCGAAGGCTGCTGCTGTAGTTGTTGTGAAGACATTTGGTAAATAAACAGCTGAGCTGATTGGCCGGGAATGTGTGGGCGGTCGAGGTGGCTGCTGCCGATTTGGTTAAGGTTGGAGAGAAGGCTGAGAGAAAACAGCATGCTCGGGAACCAAAGGGCGGTGCAACCTGACGACTGGCCATGCCTGGGTCATGTGAAACGACACCAGCCAAGCTGCATGGGGCGCGCTGGTCACATGACGCTGAAAGGGCTAGTTGGCTGGCTAATGCAGACTCAGAGGGTGGTGAGAAGAGACATGATGGTGACTCTGTAACGGGTTCATTTTTATTAATAGATGGACCAAAAAGCATAAAAAAAATGAAAAACAAGCCATCAGTACAACCATCTATTAGCTAACAATACTCCTAATGTGTTATTTTTCTTTTTCAACAGCAAAAGGGTAAGCTTGAAAACCCTGACTCGGGAGGACTTCACTCACCTGCCACAGGTAAATTCAGTCCTGTAAAAACCACGCTGCACATCTGAACAGCCAGACTAACTAGTCTGGGTCCAAGAACGTGCCAGTTCCCAAAAGTCCTGCTATATATTAGAGGTGTGTTTGCAAACCTCAACTGACAGGATTATCACACGATGCTTTAATTCTAACACTAAAGTGTAAAGATTCCAGATGTTTAAAGCAACTGTTACTTGATCCATTAATGAACAGCTGCCCGCTTGGGAAGTATTTAAATTCTGCAAACAAAGCGGAGAAACCCATTGTATGGAAATGCTAAACTGCTGTATGTCATGTTCTGCCATTATGGAATAAAGGAATGGAACAGCCTAAGTTGAAGTATGGGGAAGAAAGGGAAAGTGTGACTAGAAGACGAGCAGATTTTAGGAGGAATGAGGATAAGCCCAGGACAGAGGGCACTGACTACCAACTGCACAGTCACCTAAGGACAAAAGCCAACATTCAACACAACTTAAAGTTCACCTCGATTTTGCGGAGGGGTTGATTTGGGGATTTTTTCTTTTTTTTTCTTTTTTTTTTCAGCATTTGTCATCTCCGAATCATGATCAGATAGATGAATGTTATCCATCAACATGCCTTTAACAAGCCTGCTTCTAGGATGCTACAGTGGTAACAGTGCCAAGAGCTCTAGGTGTGCTGTGCCCCCAGGTACCTGCGCCGAGGGGGAGGACTCCTCCTGCGATAGTCGTCCCTGGGACGCCGGCCCCACGAGGGAGGGGGGCCGCGGTTCCGACTCCGCTTCTCCCCATTGGAGAGCTCCACTCTGACTCGGCACCCACACAGCGTTCTGGGAAGAGACACGGACACGGGTTAGTGCTTCCAGGGAGAAGCCAGCGTGGAATAAAAGCTGCCAAGTCCAGAGAGGGAAAAGGAGCGGACAAGGTAAAAACATTCTGTCTGCAGGCAAAAGTAAAAGTGTTCAGAACAACTTCTGCGTGACAGTGGCTGCACCACCCCTGGAAGCGTTCAAGGCCAGGCTGAAGGGAGCTCTGAGCAACCTGGCCTAGTGGAAGGTGTCCCTGCCCATGGCAAGGGGTGGAATGAGATGTGTTCTAAGGTTCCTTCCTGCCCAGACCCGCCTGGGATTCTAGTGCAGACAAAAGGTTTGGCTGCTTCTGAAAGCTACTGTGCCAGTAAAGGAGGCAGGGAAGAAACCAAGGCGAGTTTCTCCAATCAGTTTTACCTCTTTATAGTTACACCATCTTCAATTTAGCACATCCACAGACATCCAAGTCATTTCTAACTTGAGAGTCCAATCCTGAAGTGCAAAATTAACCTGCCCTTCTTCCTGAATAGCATCAGGATGATTTTGATTTGATATTGGGAAGAAATCTTTCCCTGTGAGGGTGGGGAGGCCCTGGCACAGGTTGCCCAGAGAAGCTGTGGCTGCCCCATCCCTGGAAGTGTCCAAGGCCAGGCTGGACGGGGCTTGGAGCAACCTGAGCTAGTGGAAGGTGTCCCTGCCCATGGAAGGGGGTGGGACTGGATGAGCTTTAAGGTCCCTTTCAGCTCAAACCATTCTGGGATTCTACTGCACCCTTGGATCACACAAACACTTCATAACAACCACATCAAGTCTTTGGCCCTGCAGTTGAAACTTTCCAATTTATGCAGCAAAACTACTCAAAATTTCTTTTTCACAAGCCAAGCCAAACATAAAAGCAGCACATTTTACCTTCCATCTAGTTCTCTTACTGCATCAGCTGCATCTCGTGGATCTTCGAATTCCACAAAGGCAAAACCAGGAGGATTTCTCGCCACCCACACACTGCGCAGTGGTCCATAGTAGCCAAAGGCTCGCTCTAATTCCGTTTTGTTGCCATTGTTTCCAAGGTTACCCACGTAAACCTTGCAGTCCAGCGGACAAGAGTCGCGATGCATTGCTAGGACAAGAAAAAAGAAGTTCACGCCTATTTAAACACAGAGCGTGCACTTGTTCACTTCCAAGGAAGTCGTTCTGCTGGCTCCTTCCGCCTGAAACTTCAGCGGAGATACGACCTGATGCGATGGAAATATTAATCTGTGTGCAACGGGCGGGCAGAGGGGATTAATATCGAACAAAAAAATCCGAGTTGTTATGTCGCAGTGTGATTAAAATTCACTGTTTGGGGGAATTTCGGCTACTTTTAAGGTTTACGGCTTTGAAGGGGAGGGGTGGGGGGTGTCCCTACGCCCTTTCCCTGCTTAGCGCGGGGGGGCCCGCAGGGGGCGCAGCGCGGGGGAGGCTCCATTGTTCCCGGATCGGGATTAGGATCGGGATCAGGGGGATCCGCACATGCGGGGGTGACAGCGCCATCCCCAGCCGAGCCCCGCCGGCAGCGCCCGGGGAATCCCTACGGAGCGGCTCCTCGGTGCGTCGTGAGGGACCAGCGCTGCCGCGGGCGGGCGGGACGGTGCCACTCCGCCCCCGCGGCACCTCCCGCTTTGCCTCGCACACCACCGAGAGCAGGCTGAGCACGGGCTCGTCCAGGCAACCCGCGGCCTCCCCGCCGCCTCCCCTCAGCGTTGCGGCGGCCGCCGCCCGCGGCCCGGCCTCACAAAATGGCGGCCGCTCTTTGTTTGCCGCCGATGCCGCCTCCATCCGCCCCGCCGGGGCCCGAGACCACGGGTGCCGCCGCCTCCCCCCACAAGCCCTCTGGGGTGAAGGTCCTCACCGATGCTCAGAGGGAGGGCGCGCGAAGGGAGCCCGCGCTAAACTCAGCCGACTCGACCCCTCAGCGAGACCCCAGCTCCGCTTTTCCTCACTGGACAAAATGGCGGCTGGCGCTTACCCCGCCCGCCTTATATACGGCCAGCCTCTCCCACGTGACGCGAGCGGCAGCGAATCAGAGAGCGTCGTTGAGCTGATTGACAGGTGGTGTCACCCGGCGTGTGCGGGTGGGCGGTGCTTCCGCGCCAATGGCGGGAGCGCTGAGGCGGCTCCGCGGGCCCCGCCCGGGCCCTGAGATCAGAGAGCGGCAACACCCTCGAAAATGTTGGGTTTTAACGGCCAAAATGAAAAATAAAGTTTTATTTCCTTGTGTCTCTGGCCCGGTCGGGTCCCTACGGGCCGTGGTTTTTAAGCATCATCCCCTCAGCATTGGGGTTTACACGTATGAACACTTTGTACGAGCAAACTGCTGTAAACTCACAAGTTGTGGCAGATTTTATATGGGTTTATGAGGCCCAAGAGAGGGAATTGATTTTTTTAACACTTGAGAAATTTTATTTCTCAAGCACTGAGGAATTTTATTTACAGATACACAGTGCTGTTGATGTGCTTTATTAAACTCTCCTTCATACATGACATTTATGCAACATGAGTTTTAACGTGAATTAAACAAATAACTTGCTCTGAAGGGGTTTCCCTAGATAAAAAGCGTCTTATTTTGGGTGTCAGGTGATACAAGATTCCCCATCTGAGGCTGTTGCTGCAATAACCTCCCAAAACCTCCCTTTGCAGCCAAGCTGTGTTTAATCCAGACTTTATGTCTTTGACTTGGGCCAGGGAAGACAAATTTCTCTGTACAAGTAAAATTAATAACAGTTTAAATCATATTATATGAGATAAGGCATTTTGAGTACAAATTAATGCATGTGGACTGTGTTTTCCAAGCAGGAACTATGCTCAGGATGGGACGTCCTCAGTCTACTGGAATTCTACCAGCATGTAAATAAAACCCAACCAGCATCAAAAACAACTAGCTGAGATAATTCCTTAGAATTTTCCAAAATCTTTTGCAGCATCCTCCATTATTTTTAAGAGCTTTTTCTCAGTAAAATCCTCCAAGGGTCAAAACTGGCCAGGAGACAGAAACACAACAATGATTTTGAGGTAACAGATGCCCTAAAGTATCTTTATCTGTGTGCAGTTATCTCACAGTTACCTGCCTTTAATTAAGGAAATCTAATCCATTGTAATCTAAATTAGCTGATGGTTAATCTCCTGAGGCGACACAAACAAAGGAAATAATTTGAAGCTTGGGGCTGTTCAACCATTTCACTTTGTGACTTCTTGGAGGCAGTGATTTCCAGGACTCGCCTCCCTCCTCCAAGGGGTTTGCAACACTCCTAGGCCCTGCTCATATCACATAATGTACATTTCAAATATGATTTAAGATTTGCAATAATGAATATTTAAAAAAAACCCAAACAAACAAAAAAATATTAGTTAGAGAGCAACGTGGACAAGCTTGTAATCCTAACAGAACTTTTATCTTCATCCCAAAGTTACATATGATGCAGGAAAATAATTCCAGACAACAGATTTGGGAACAAAGGATTTATTCAGAAGTAAGTTCACCTCCTGCAAAGCAAACACAGCATTCAGCACTCACCTAGGACATGCTACCTCCTCTATTCAAGGTGCTTCTTACCTGGGGTTAAGCCCATCACCATGTTTCATAAACCACAGCCCATAAAAGTCATGTCATATAAACATAATCTGTTTTCAGTTTGCTTTTGGCATTATAAAGAAACTAAATGTGGCCCATCACTGGGACAAAAGGCCTATTGGAATATTCAGCCTAATTCCCACAGCTGGGGTTGGGATGTCCCAGTACAGGCACACAGCACTTCTGTCATTCCAAAATCAGCATTTTGCTTGTCCTCTCCCAAAGACAGTCCCCGAGCCAGCTCTGAGAGCACTGTATGTGTGTGTTGCACATACATGGAGCTGAATTGTGTTATGTTACCTTCTTCCTTATTCCAAGTCTGTAAGGGTCTGAAAAATCCTGCTGGATTGAACTCTGGCTTTCACAATAAGAAAATGCCACTCACGTCTGATATTTATGAGAGGTACAGAACTTTTACATTCATCAGATCTCATGTGAAAAGAAGGAGAGAACATTGACCTCACAAATAAAACCAGACCCGCTGTGAACAGGTGGGTCAAGACTAGATTGACAAGGTATTTAATAGCTGCACAGTGCAGGAGAGCACAGTCATCTGTTTTATAAACCTCCAGACCAGGATCCATGACCACACGGACCTGGAGTAAGGTGTTCCAGTCAAGCTGCTGTCATGGTTCCTGAGATTTCAATCCCACAGAAGAAAATGAACATATTCTAGACATAATTTGGAAGAAACCTCAGCTGTGTGAGCCAAATTTAAGGGATCACAAATATCCTGAGTTGGAAGGGACCCACAAGGATCATCCAGTCCAACTCCTGGCCTTGCACAGGACAGCCTAACAATCCCAGCATGTGCCTGAGGGCATTACCCAAACACTCTGTGAGCCCTGGATACTTCAGGAGCCAGACAGTATTTACTGGAGAATATTTCTTTCAGGATCTCTTAGAGCTGCTCCTCAAGTGAAACTAGACATTAACAAAAATAGTTATTTACTGGCATGGTTCTGCCTGCAGAAAGGGCTCTTGCTGGGAACACGACAGGAACTGGTGGAGGGGACACATCTTCAGTCACAAACCAACTGACTGCTCACAGGCACAGCTCAGGCTGCTCGTGAGGTTCCTGTGGATTCGACCCATTTTCACATCCTGCCCAATCTCGGTGAAGGGCATTTTCTACTGAAACGACGACTTACACTTGCCTGATCTTTAGATATATTACATAGATAGATATTTAGATATATTACAACCAGTTTGAGTGAGCTTATTCCCACAAATTCTTGTGTTTACAGCATAAGGTCCCTATCCCTTATTCCCTCACTTTTAAAACATATGTATTTTTACACTGTGAAAGTTTTTAGCTGCACCTCAGACCTCATCTAAAGGGAGAGTGAAGCAACAAACTGTGATTTTTACATCATAGACCTAAACTAAGAGACTCAGCTCTCAGTGCAGGGGCACAGCACATCCCCAAGACTCAGCACTTGGGGATTAATTAGCGAGAAGTTCGTTTATTTGAATGATGTGTTATTTGGAGACCTTCAGTTGCTCGTCCTTCATCCCCATCTTTCCAGGTGTGAGCCTTCTGCCACTGTTGGGGTCCCACCTCCAAGGTGTGGGCAGCAGAGGGTGACATTCTCTTGCAGGGGCAGATCCCACAGAGCTCCTTTTCAGGGGGACAGGCCCCATGGAATAGGGAGACACATCTCCTTGTGTTTTGCTTTTGAGGTTCTCAGGAGACCTCCAGGCACTGCAAGGCTGTGGAACCAGGGATTAACTCAGAGAGCCCAGGGAGTGTTACAGAAGCAGCACAAGGGACCTGAGGCTTTGTCTCAGCTTCACCTGAATTTGTTTTGCACACAGAAAATATCCCATCTGGAGACTGTTATGGGGAAGGGAAAAGAGAGTCAGCCCCAGGCTTGGCTGCAGGGCAGGTTTTGAAGGACAAAACACTCACCCTTGCTACTGTGTTCTGACAGAGCTGCCAGTCCCAGGAGCTTCTGTAAATCTGGCTTGAAATCAGAAAATGGGAAATGAAAACAGGGAGTCTGACTCACTGCTATTCAACTCTAATTTTAATTCCCTGGAAGATGGGAGTTCTCTCTGGAATGATGCAGTATGTAGTGGATTAGGGGCCAAGATTTCAAACTGCTCCTGGAGTTTACCCCCCTCCCAAATGGTATTTCTGGCACAGGACTGTCCTCCAGCAACAAGGAGGTGACACAGAGGAGCTAAAAGCACCCAAAGCAAGATGGAAAAGCCTGGAACTTGCTCCTGGGAGCTGAAATCCACCTCTTTAAATGGTTATGGAAGCAAAGGTGCTGCTGCTGCTGGTGACGCCCCTGAACCACCTCGAGGTGTAAGTGTGGAGGTGCCAAAGTCTTTGTGGCCTTGGGGTTTGCTGCGAGGTGTCATTTCCTCCCATCTCTGGGTGAGGGAGGCCAGGAAGGGAGAGCAGCCCTTCATCAGCTGCTGCTCTACCAGCAGCTCAGGGGAACTAAATTTACCAGGACTGTGGTCAAACCGTTTCCTCTCGGCAGGGCGGTGTCTGGTTTTCCACACACAGCACTCAGCAGCTCACAGGAATTCTGGTCTGATGGGTAAGAGCAGTAAGGGAAAAAAAAGAAGCCACAGCCCAAAAAACAATCCCAAAAAACCGAGTTGATTTTTACATCAGGGAAGCTCTTCTGGAGCCCACACTCCTGTTACTGGTGAGTAACAGAGAACAGCACATGGAAAAAATTCCTCAGATCTGTCTGCCCATCTCCCTGCAGATAGAGGATCCCTTTGATGCAGTACAGTCTTTGTTTAATTAAGTTTTCAAATCCCCCTTGCCCTAACGAGGCTATTTGCACATTTGCTTTGCTTTCTGTTTCCTCCCCGAGTTCCTTCTTCCCCCTCAACGGGGCCTCCAGGCTTTCTCTTCCCTTTTTCTTTGCTCTGCAGCAAAGCCATATTCCCTTCCTCCCCCACCTGGCTCCCTGGGGGAAGGACTGGAAAGCAAAACAAAAGAATCACTCGCTGGGAAACTATAATTGGCACAACCCTTCTCGCTCCAAACCTCCCACTGGAGAAGGTGAGGGAACAGCAAAGGCCCCTCCCGTGGGGAGTCAGACCGGGAAAAGCTGGAGGGAGGGACTGAAGGCTTTGAAGCCAAGGCTCAAAGCTTTGATGACTCCAGGAGTGCTTTGAGGGAGCCTGGAGGTAACCAAACTCCGGTCATCCCAGTTAATGCCGTGGCAGAACAGGCTCCTGCTCTGCTCTGCACCGTCCAGGGCTCCTGCAGAGGTTAATTTATCTCAACTAAAAATGTCACCTGGTTGTGCTGTTGGCACAATTTCCCCTTGTGACATTGGCACTGTGGTGGTGGGGTTGAAGAGATGGGTAGGTAGATCTGTGCCAACACCAGGAGCAGATTTAGAGCTCGATGAAGTTATAGTTTAGATTAAAATAATCATTGCACAATTGCACCTTCTAGTTGTCCCTTCCCTAAGCCAAAATCATAGCTCAAAACATTACCTCCCGTGTGAGTGGCTGGTGTATAAATGTGCAATTCACACATTTTATGTATTTTTAGGAATATTATAAAGCAGGAATCCATCCCTGTCAGTGTCTCTTCCTTGCTCTGGGCTCCTCTCAGGGATACACGGGAACTCCAGCGCAGATCTGGCTCTCAGGGAGATGTTACAAAGTCAGGACCAAGTTAATTTTGACTTGTGCCAAGTCCTTAAATGGAAGGAAAGGGCCAGTGGCAGGGTGTAGCCATGGCAGTGTGGTGTGACCATTAGGATATGTGCCCATGTACCAACCCCACATCGCCAGCGGTCACTCAATTAATGCTCTTCCAGCAGAGATGCTGAAAACTGCATCCAATGAAAACCCATTGTACCCTGGAGACTCGAAAAGTTCAAGGATGGATTGGACCAGATGCTTCAGACATGACTTTGGCCAAGGCTTATTAATCCTTGAAGATGTAACTAAGGAACCTTGGACCCACGGTGGGTAATTCGGTGTAACCGCGGCGCAGCTGCTGCCCTGGAGACTCGGATGTGAAGCCAGGCCCTGATTTACCAATATTTAACAAATGTCATCTTTAATTGGTGACACTTTAATGGGTGACACGCTCCTTAACAATGAGGTAGTGAAATCAGGAACACTTATCGGATCACTCAGAAAAAGTGGGGCTCCAAATCTGTGTGAGGAATACAATAAAAACCAATTTGGTGTCCATGGAAGCTGTGAGATCACTGTGTGAGCCCTGTCTCTGCAGGACAATGTGTCTGCATCCACCTGAGCCTGGCTTTAACTGTGCCTATGGGAAAGGAATCCACTGCTTGTGGTAACTAAGCAAATGATCTTTTCAGTCTTTCCGGGGAATTGCTCCTCAGAGATGACAAATACATTCGTTGTCTTTCACTTTGAGAAGTAGGAACTGGTCCTCTTAAGTAGTTTCAGCCTAATGATCCAGGCACATCCTGAGCACCCAAATTCTGCTCCAATTACCTGTTAGAGCTCATACAGTGAGTATCAAACCTCACGTGGTGCCAGCTCATAGGGTTTCAAAACATATCAGAATTTGGCTCTTTGCCTGAGCCACAGCTTGCACTTTTATTGTTTAGTCACTTGATAAGTCTTCTCTGTTTCTCCTCTGTTTCTCCTCAGCTTCCAAGATTTCAGACTAATTTCTTTACTGTATAATCAACAGATTTAAATGAACTTTCTACTGAGCATTAAAATCCAGTGGGATCTTATTTAGATTGCCCAGAGAAGCTGTGGCTGCCTCTGGATCCCTGGAAGTGTCCAAGGCCAGGTAGGACGGGGCTTGGAGCAACCTGGGCTGGTGGAAGGTGTCCCTGCCCGTGGCAGGGGGTGGAGCTGGATGATCTCTAAGGTCCCTTCCAACCCAAGTCATTCTGGAATTCCATGATTCTATGATTTACCAACCCCTCAGTTAGATTTTGGGTGAATAACTACCCTGCTTTGCAGATTTTATGACAACTGGCATTGCCGAACTCACCAGTATTAATAATTTAGATTCCTCCTACCCAAATCCGGTGTCTCACACACGAGTCCACAGGGACAGGAAAGGAAGGAGATCTCTTCTGCATCCAGAGACCCTTTTCCTGATCAACCCTGGAACAACAGGGTTCGCCATCACCTTGGGGCACAGAAACCTTGTGGTAAAATCAAGTTCACACAGAACAGGAGAGACAGCAAAGGAATAACAAACTGTCCATGAAGCTGTGATGTTTGCCTTAGTCACAGCTGAACATTTTAGAATCCAGGATTTATGATCAGTGGGAACAGGCAGCTGTCTCATTTCACTGACACGAGAGGAAAGGCCTTAGTCACAGAGATGATGCCCATTGTCTCTGTGCTCCCTGGGCTGGTATAAAAGCAGGAGAAGGGCACTCGGTGTCACTGCAGGAGACACGTTGTGCAGGTCAGGACTCCACTGGGATCAAACAGCACCACCAGCAAGGAGGTAATGTTCCTTTTGTAACTGCAAGATGCTTTGTAATTAATATATATTCTACTGTTGATCACAATAGTGTTGCTTCTCTTCTGTGCATGAGCAGGAGTTCTACATTAGCACAATTTAAAATGTCACTCTGCAAGTAAATATACACATCTATATGTATATTTATGTGCATGTATCTGCTTTTAATACAGATATTTTTAATCAGGACTAATACATGTGTTATTTCATATCTAGTTTGATTTCAACGTGCTGCTCAAGGAAATCACTCACAAATTAGTGGAGCAGACTTATTAAGAACAAGCTTAATTGTTACAAGCAAATATATAATTTATTTGTATTTTATTAATGTATAATTTGCCTTTCTATCCAACCCTTGACAATTCAATATTCAAGTTAGTATAAAGACAAGTCATTTGAGGAGATGCTGAGTTTTTTATTATCCCAAACTTCCCCTGCACAAAAAGAAGTATTTCTTCAAAGAGTTATATGGGAACATATCTTTACTATTCTTACATAACAATTTAAATGCTGCAGCTTCTGTTTTATTGTCCCCCCAGGTTTTGATGTAAGGGTTAATACAGGATTTTCAGGTAAATGACTAAAGGGACAGACTGGAGCCAATCCTAAAGCAGGGTACAGTCATTAGTGTGAAAAATGCAGAGATTTTAGGGACAGACCTGGCAACAAAGACATGGTGGGTTGAAGGAATGGGTAGGAAGAGGTGCATCAATGCCAGAAGCAGATATAGAACTGGATGAAGTTATAATTTAGATTAAAATAATCATTGCACAATTGCATCATCTGGTTGTCCCTTCCCTAAGCCAGAAATCCACTCCTTCACTGAAAAGAAATCTGGCATCAGTCTAATAAAATCCCAGATATTTGCATGTCAGCACTTGTACTGCTCATGGAAAAGGCCCAACCCCCAGGGCTATGAACACCTTTTAACTTGATATTCCTGCTCCACTCTTAAATCCTTTGTTCTGTGATTTTCAGCAATCCTGATCTTCTTGACAAATTTCTGTGAAGTTTTATCAGGGAGGTCTCTTCCCAGTCCTGAAATGTGCTTGCAAATGCAGAAGAGTGGGAGGTGTTATATTGAGAGGCAACACTGGGAAAGGAGATTTAGGACTCTGAGCAAGGAAATCCAGAACTACACTGTGAATCCTAATTCATCTTTTCTGGTGTATGTTCACATCCACATGACTGATGTTCTGGGAGGTCCTGGGATGATTTCCCACAGCACAGTGCTCCACTTTTACCTGTGCTTAAAGGCTGAAATTCATTTTGTCAGGTGAAAGGAAGAACAGAGGGAACGATTTCTGATCCCACCATCAGCTGCTGGTCCTGTGGAGTGGATTTAAGAAGAGAGAAAATGTTCCTGCCCCAGAGGTCTCTGCAGACAGTTACATTTTTGGCAATTCTTTTTTTTGCCTGTTTTGCAATGTGTCAAGAGATTGAAAAGTAAGTAAGATCATCCTTTTACTTCATTATTATAATTAGAAAACTGCTTGGTTTTGATTTAACAGGCTGTGTTCTGCACTGCTGTCAGTAACTCCAGGCATGGGGGAAAGAAAATTCAATATATTTAATACAGCAACATTTTACATCACTCTCTCTGCAGTATAAAATTAGTCCAATTGCATTTTTAGATGTATAACATGTACCACATCAGTTGATGCTTTTAAACACAGTGTACAAACCATGTAAGGATGTTCAGCACAGGCCATGGAGATGGCACATGCTAAAATTCCATATTTAGGTTCCCATTTGGATTCAAATCTGCAGCAGGAGCCTATAGCTGCAGTTAGATGTTATCTGAACAGCCTGAAATCCTGAAATATTTGCATCCCAGAATTAGCCTGCCCTCCTCACTCAACACTCGGCTCAATATTTTTGAAGAATCTGAAGTATCTGAAGAAAATAAGGTTTTGTTTTTATTTCATGGACATCAGTGATTCCAGCTAAATTCCAGTGATTCCAGCTCTGGGAGGAAAGAAACAAACCCAAAAATCCTGTAACACTGAGGTGAAGGAAAGGGAACTTTATTCAGAAAAGAACCTAAATCTGGGAAAGCCCAAAACTGTGTGAGAGCTCTTTAAACCCGCTCAGGTCATTTTGTTGGTCTTCCCAGTTTGCCTTTTTTAGAAAAAGGAGATTCAAGGTACACCTTTGGGAATGGCACAGGGTTCCAGCTTCCTGTCTTAGGGAATGAGCTGCTTGACAGGCTGCTGGACCAGCCTGAGTAGGAACAGTGGGCTGTGCTCCTGTGTGGGATTGGTGGATGCCAATCAGCATCTCTGGTCCCTCATTCTTTCTTTTTTCCCCTGCAGCAGAAGAGCAGTGACAGAGCACCAGCTCCTGCACGACAAAGGGAGGGCCTTCCAAGGGCTGAAGCGCCTGCTGTGGCTCCACAACGCCCTGGGCACCGTGCACACAGCCAGCAGCAGGGACATCCCGCCCCCAAATGCCACGTGGGATGCACAGAAAAGCCAAAATCCCTCAGATCTCCACAACAGCATCGATGGAGACGAGACTTCCAGCCTGATGAAGCAGCTGCTGGAGCTGACGGAGGCAGAGGGGTTCCTCCCGTTGGATTTGAAGAGCCCAAAGGGGAACTGGAACCCACAAGGCCTTTTTTGAGCTGCTCCAAACCAAAGAGCTGGGCAGCAAGAGAAATCCCAGCACGCAGCCCCAGGACTATTCCTGTTAGCCCTCAACCCCCCCGGGCTGTCCCTTGCTTTACATGTGTGCTCTTGTAGGGAAAAGCTCCAGCACAAAGGTGAACTGCAAAATAAAGATAATTAACTGCATTTACACCTCCAGATGTTGATAGAGACCCTTATAAGGAGCCAAGTTCTCTCCTGAGCAGCTGAGTGCTGTGACTGTGAGATGGGTCACTTGTCACAGGCACTTCTCTTTTACATCAGGGCCCTCCCTGTCTGTCCTGGATATCTTAGGGGTGCTGCAGCCTGTTGGAGCTCCTGTACCCACTCAGCAGGAAGTTTGGGTCATTAATGTGCATATTTGGAGGCTCACTGGAGCCTGATGTTTTGACTCCTGAAGAAAGTTATCTCCTAATACAGGTTCTCTTTCATTTCACCCCTGCCTGCAGTTCTGCCCTGCTCTAATAATGACTTTTCTTATACTGTGGGTCCAAAGGGTTTTTTTCCCTGCTTCTCCAGCATAATGAAAGTTTTAAGCCTCTCATGCCTCAGTTTGTCCTTCTTTTTGCCGGGTAAAAGTTGACAGTGATCCCCACTCAGCCAAAGCCCTAAACATTCACCTTGTTCTGCTGGTGGAAGGATGAGAACCAGCTTCCAGGGTCTCTATTTCAGCCTTTTGTTCCAACACTTCCTTCCTTTTCTTTCCTCATGTGAAATCCTCTCCCAGGAGCTCCCACAGCAGCAGAAAACCAGCTTCACGAGGCCACCTGCCTTTCCTGGAATAGGTACCACAGGATTTTGCTGTTCACCTTTGCCATCAAACTGATCATCTCTGCCTAAGCAAAGCAAGGTCCAGTTTAATTGTAAAATCAGTCTTTCAGAAATGAAATCTCTTGTGTGTTACAAATTTATCAGCATTTCCACCGTTTTAAATCCTGAAATTCCTCTGTTGCTGATGGACTTCAACTGTGCAGAATGTATTTCTCAGTGATTAAAATGTTGATAATAAAAACCCTTTTCACCCTCTGAATTGTACTTGCTTCTGTTTTGGTAGAAATGTAAATAAATAAACGAATAAATAAATAAAAAAACCCTTTTGCCAATGTATGTCCACACATTTGGGATGAGTACGGAGTCACGTTTCTTTGGTTGTGTCACTCCTCACAGGTCCCTGTTAGATTCCCAAGGCCAATCAAACCATTACTGAAGCAGATGGTGAAGAGCTGAGAGGCGTGAGGCAAAACCAGGTTACACTGCCCAAGCAATGAATTTGCTGAGCTGGGATGTGGGAACTTGTCCTCCCTGGAACCCATAGGATGGAACCCCGGGAACCTGACTGTGACCAGCTCAAACCTCTCCAGAACTGGCTGTGTCCTGCCCAGCACACTCTGGAGCAGCCCCTCTGCCCCTGCAGAGGTGGATTCCTCTGGGAACGACTCCCTTTGAGCCCTGGGAGGTGGAGGTGACCATGGGCATCTTGGTGGCACCTGTCCCTGGCTGTGCCTCCCTCCTGTGTCACCACTGGGTGACCTGGTGTGTGGCACCCGTGTGGGGATGGGGACAACCGACCTCCCCTGGATGGTGAGAACAGGCTGTGTGCGGGGAGGTGAGGCTGTGC